TCACTAAAGGCACACCAAAATGCAGCCATGTCTATCAAATATATTAGCCTCTAACCCAATTGATACTTCCAAAAGCATTTTAATAAGGTCACTCCTGACATGTGGCTTGAAAGTACACATAGTGTGTCATCTGAACGCATGCCCATTAATTGCTTGGGGGTTAAAAATACAACCAGGAGACAGAGCTGTCTCCAGTATTCACTCCGATTAACACATTCTTCACCACTCGCCTCATCCTGAAAACATCTTCATAATGCAGTAGAGTGGCTTTTGACAGCCTCAAAGTGGAGCTGGTACAGTAGAGCCAGACAGCAACCACCCTTAACAGTTTACCTTGAGTACCAGATTGTATACGGCACTCAGCGTAGTTTCTGATTAGGCCTTGGTATCCCCCATCCCACCAGACGATGGCTGGGTTAGACAGACACATGGACACACAAGGAACAGCTTCCCTAAGAAAGTTATAAAGGGCCGGGTGATGGTAGTGCATGCCTTTAATCCCAGCACTTGAGAGGCAGACGCAGGCGGATTTCTGAGTTTGAGGCCAGCCTGGTCTACAGAGTGAGTTCCAGGACAGCCAGGGCTACACAGAGAAACCCTGTCTCGAAAAACCAAAAAAAAAAAAAAGAAAGAAAGAAAAGTTATTGGGCTGGAGAGATGGCTCAGTGGTTAAGAGCACTGACTGCTCTTCCAGAGGTCCTGAGTTCAAATCCCAGCAACCACATGGTGGCTCACAACCATCCGTAATGAGATTGGATGCCCTCTTCTGGTGTGTCTGAAGACAGCTACAGTGTACTCATCAATAAAATAAATAAATAAATATTTAAAAAAAAAAAAAAAGAAAGAAAGAAAAGTTATAAAGGCAGAGCCAAGCCTAGAAGGCAACCCTGGCACCCACCAAGAGCAAATTAGTTGTTTTTTTGTTTGTTTGTTTGTTTGTTTGTTTGTTTTTTCATGTATGTGTGTGAGCCTACTGAGTTTGTGTGCATCATGGTCATGCAGGAGCCCACTGAAGACATGAGAGGGCTTCCTGGAACTGGAGTTATAGGCCGCTGTGAGCTGCCTGCAGGTGCTGGGAACTGAACTCTGGTTCTTGCAAGGGCAGCAAGTACTCTTGCCTACATGGCCATTTCTCCAGCCCTAGGTTGACATTTAAGAAAGAGTAAGGTTTTCTTGCTTAAGAAATTGCCCAGCTAATGGAGTGGAGAGAGACTGAGGGTGGTAGGTTAAGCATAAAGGCTGTGACGAGAGTGTCATGGGATTCCGTGGATGGAAGGAATGATGTTTGAGGGTGAGGTCACAAGAGTATAAAACTGGTGCTTGTGGAGTAGGTGGGATTCTAGCAAGCAGGAATTTGTGTTGTTCACCCAGGATGATGCTCCTTCAGAATACACCCATCAGGCCACACAGCAGGGAGCAAGGGCAGCATTACTGAGGCAAAGAACCAAGGCTAGCCTGGGCCCCATCATAACATAGATATAGCTCAGTAGTACAGCGCTTGCCTAACAAGCTCAAGGCCCTGGGTCCAATGCCCAGGGAGACACAAGGAGAAAAGAAAGGAAAGGAGAGAGGGAGGGAAGGAGAGAGGGGGGAGGGAAGGAACGAGGGGGAGGGAGGGAGGGGAAGGGAGACGGGTCCAGTTAACCAACTGGAAGAGCAAAGTAGCACAACGCAGATGGAAGAATGGGAGCTTGGTCTTGACCAAGTTACTTGCGACCTCCCTCTATAAGTGGACAAGACTATCCGAGTTGCGTGCTCAGAGAAGTCCCAGCTGGAGACTAAACTTGGCTGCTCGGGATTCCACAGTTGAGGTGAGGGGTGGGGTCTTTTTTTTTTTTTGGTTTTTTTTTTTTTTGGTTTTTTGAGACAGGGTTTCTCTGTGTAGTCCTGGCTGTCCTGGAACTCACTCTGTAGACCAGGCTGGCCTCGAACTCAGAGATCCACCTGCCTCTGCCTCCCAAGTGCTGGGATTAAAGGCGTGCGCCACCACTGCCCGGCGAGGGGTGGGGTCTTAAGATTCATATGGAGGGCTTCCCAGTGGGAGGCCCCAAGGCAGAGCTCTGGACATCCCACCCTTTCCAGGTGCAGTGAAGGTGCGCAGGAGACCACAGGAATGCCAGGGAAGAGTGGGCATGCTACCTAGTTGTATGGCTACTTGACACAAGCTAGAGTCATCTAAGAGAAGGAAGCCCCCGCTGAGAAAATGCCTTTTACGATGGGCTGTAGGCAAGCCTGTGGGACATTTTCTTAATGAGTGGTTGATGTAGAGGACCCAGCCCAATGTGGGTAGTGCTCTCCCTGGGCAGATGGTCCTGGGTGTTATCAGAGAGCAGGCCGAGCAAGCTATAAGGAGCAAGGCCCGTACGCAGCACCTCTCCATGGCCTCTGCATCAGCTCCTACCTCTAGGTTCCTGCCCTGACTTCCCTGAATGATGGATTGCAAGATGTAATGTGAAATAAAGCCTTCCCTCCCCAAGTTGCTACTGATTGTGGTGTTCCATCACAGTGACAGAAGCCCCGAGACAGTGCCAATCTGACAACGGAGCTGAGGAATTGCGCTAAGAAAGTAGGAGCATCGGCTTAGAAACGGAATGTGGTAGAGCGGTCAGTGTGAGCGTTCGATACCAAGGCCTACAAGAACCCCCTCTGAGCGAGGAGAGGTGGAGCCAAATGTCTGTAGCTTGATTCTGGACCTCTCAGGAATCCATGTGCAGAGGAAAATCTCAGAGGCACACGCAGGTTGGATCCCCAGAGACGAACTACGGGCTGGAAGCTGTCAAAACTTCATCTCAAGAGTCACGGAAACTGAGACATCTGGCAGCCAGCCAGTGGAAGAAGAAAATCCAGATAAGAACCCAAAGGAGCAAACCAGCCAGCTCCATGCTCTGCAAGGAAGGCACCTTCCTTCATCCCAACCCCACTCTACTTCACATCAAGGTCAAGCTTCAAGTTAGCACCAGGAAGCTGAGAAGCGTTTACAGAGACCTCCACTGTGAGCAGGGCCTCCAAACTTAACAGGACGTTTGCCCACGCTCAGACTCCCCTAAGACATCAGAAAATGATTGTGGAATCCCTATGAGGTGGACAGCCCATCCCCCACCCCAGTCTCCAAAGCCTGTAGATCAGTCTAGGCACAGGGGAAAGGTGTTGGCTCACAGCATCCTTTCCCAGCATCCACTCTGGGATGCAAATTAGTACTCCAAGGGCTCGGTGGCCCCCAACTCTTCCCAAAACCACCAGTATCGAAACCAAAAGTACCCATTACCAAAATCTGCACATCTTGACTTTTTCAGATAAAGTAAGAATTCCTCACCGCAGTCACACAAACACCAAGAAGCAGCACCCAGAGCAAAATAAAAGGGTCTTATGCAAATGGCATTCATTTGCGATGTCTCACTTCTAAATAATATAGCGGGGCGGCTAAATTCTAAACCCAGAGGAATTAAAAAGGCAAAATTAATATTTTACAGTAACTCGGGTTTCAAGTGCAACATCAGCAAAAATAAGCCACGTGCCTGCCAGTTGCTAATGTCTCATGGCTACAAAGTCCAGTGTGTTTCTACAAAGGACAGTTAGCATTTGGCAACATTTTTGTCTAATTCCCCAGAAATACAACTGCAAAGTTAAAGGCATGACTGACAGGGAGTTCATGCAACCCTTCACCACATTTACAAAACCCCACTTTCACATACATAGAGTTTATTACATGTACTCAGACACTAGAATTGGCATCTTTTAAATTTCAAGGAGTGATCCTTGTCCCTAATCTGTTTCTGGCAGTAACTGATAATTGGCCTTTTCTTTAAAAGGTGGTTCAGTTCACCAACCCTGCCCCTTGCCCCCCTTCCCCATAGTTTTTCTACACCTGTCCTTCCTCTGGGCTGATTTGATCCAGGGCTTGTTGGTTTCTTTAAAAGATGGGCAGACTGACCACACTTAAGAATTACTATTCTAAAAGTAACTGTATATAAAAATATACACCTACATGAAACCAAGACAACAAGCAAACCCAGGTTTTGTAAAGCTGACAGACAATGTCAGTTAGCCAATATCATGCTACCAGCTGCTCAGAGCACGGAGTCCACTCAATAGGCCAGCACTGTCCTGCCTCAATTGTCTATGGTTAATTAAAAGTGTTTAGAAGAGGCCTGGCTCTATAGCTAAGCCTGTTAAAGTGTCCGCTGATTAGAGAGTGTTTAGACGTAGCTTTCATCTTCAAGATGTTCAGAACCACTGGCTGTATTTGGTCACTCACTTCCTCAGTGAGGAATCCCTTCAACTAGAGATAACACTGTGGAAACACAGATGTTGGTGGAGCCACAAGCTGCACCCCCTGTAGATGGTCCTGTGTTTATATGTCCATCTTGCACTATGTAAGGGGGGTCTTCTAACCTATGACAATTACTGGTGACAGAAGGCAAGAAAGTTCCTATCCTGCCCTGCCTCAGAAGGGGCTTCTAAACACAGCTGAAGCCCAAACAGTTCAAAGATTTTGACACTGCCGCCAAACTAGATAACCTTGTGTCACGAGCAAGATGGATCTTACTGAATCAACTTGGAGCTCTTGCAGGGCCAACGCCGGTCTGCAGCTTGTGAACAAAGGTGTTGCTTTCATCAGCTCTCTTTATTCTGACCCTGAAGCTAAGTCTAACAAATCTTGCTGGCCATTACCTCTAGGAACTTCGATGTCACAATACCTGGGGGGGAAAAACGCTTGCTACTTTCCTCAGTGGAGAAAGCGTCCTCAGTGGAGAAAGCGTCCCGGGTGCTTTTCTAGGGGCCCTAAAGCGTAGCGCAGGCAGCAGGATTTCCCTCCAGTTTCTAACTCCACTTCTAGAAGACAGCCCCAGAGCTGCCGGGCATAGGGGGTCTCCGCCTCCGAAGTGTAAGACCTAGGTGACCTCGTAATGGATTCAAGTGATGATTTCTAGAAGTGGCTTTGGCACTTCCGAGGCCCTCTGTCCCCCAAAGTGGCCCCCTGCCTGACCCCTCGAACTCACCAAGAGTAGGTTGTGAGCAACCAGGTACCCAAGCCTGGAGCTGCCCCGCACGCCCGGGGCCAGACGCCCGGTGGCGTACCCGTGCCAGGCCACCACGTAGGGGTTGTCAATGGTGATCCAGTACTTGACCTGGTCACCGAAGTGGCGGAAGCAGAGCTCGGCATAATCCCTGAAATGGTTGGCCAGGGCGCGATTGGCCCAGCCGCCATAGGTGTCCTGCAGGCGCTGTGGCAGGTCCCAGTGATACAGGGTGACCACCGGCTGCACGCCTAGCTCCCGCAGCCGCTCCAGCAGCCGCCGGTAGTAGCGCAACCCCTCGCGGTTGGGGGTGCCCGCCGTGCCATTGGGGAGCACCCGCGCCCACGATATGGAGAAGCGGTAGTGGGTGACCCCCAGTTCGCGCAGCCCCTCTGTGTCGCGGTAGACGTTGTTGTAACTGTCGCTGGCCACATCTCCAGTGGAGGGCAGGGGAGGCGACGAGGCACCCGACGGCTCCACGACGATCGGGGAGTCGCCTGGGGTGGCCAGAGAGTGATGGGTGAAAGTGTCCCAGATGGACGCGCCTTTGCCGTGCTGTCGCCAGCCGCCTTCGATCTGGTAGGCGGCGCTGCCTACTGCCCAGAGGAAACCGTCGGGGAAGGTGTCGTGGAGGAGGCCAGCGGCCTCCGGGGCAGGAGGGCGCGCAAAGCGAGCCCAGGTCTGCGCGCCCTGACCCGGCTCAGCACTCAGGCAGCGGGCGCGCAGGGCGAGCAGCAGCAGATGCAGCGACAGCAAACGGAGCAGCCGCGGCAGGCGGCGAGGAGGGGCGCGGGCTGGCATGCTGCGGGAGCCGGGAGGGCACCGCGCAGCGCCCCTATATGCCCGCGCCCCGCCGCCCTCCCCGCGCGGTGCCCACCCCCGCTCCCGCCACCCCACGAGCAATGATTATCCAGAGCAGGCGCCGCCCCCCACTCCGGCCTGGCATGGGGGCGGGACAGGGGCTCAGACAGCCAAGGTGCCCAGAGAGAGCATCGCCAGCGTCCTGGGGACGTTGGAGAACAAGCACCTGCTGCAGCCAGCTCAGGGAGCCGCGTATCCCACATCCCACATTCCCGTCTCCTCCATTCTGGGACGTTCCTGTGTCGCCCACTCCCCGCGTCCACTCCCTTTGCCTTCCTGGAACTGGTGGTCATGGAAGACAAATGGCTGCACAACTTTGCGCAACGTTTGGCACCTGGGGGTGGGGGTGGGGGGCACCTGCTGTCCCCTTTCTCCCATTCTGAGCTTTCCACCCAGGGGAATCTTTAAGATGACATCCCTGGAGAGCTTTGCCTGTGTCTGAACACCGCGGGAAGGCGGGAAGACGGGGTAGGGAACTTTTTAAGAGTATTCAAGCAGTTTTCTTCTGGTGAGGGAGTCCCCCATCCCATCAGAGTAGGGAGAGAGTCGGCCCTGTCTCAGACCTCTACCTGGGGAGCCTTCAAGAACACACAGTGGGTCTAAGATTTTTGGGTTGTGTGGGGCTTCGCTTCTGTTTCTCCTTTCTCTGGGTCCTCTCTAACCTCTTCTCTTCCCTCCCCCTGTTATCCTTTAACCCTTTAAATCAGCAGTGTTCCTTAATTAGATCCCTTTAAATTTTCTGGTGAGTTTGTGGCTGAGTTGTTTTCTGAGAGAAAGAAGAACTCTAAACCACCCAGACTTCAACTTCCACTGCACCTTCTCCCGTTTAACATCCTTTGCCGTCCTTTTTATGAATGAACGTTTTGACTTCCAGCCTTGGCTTAGCAAGTGGGTTCTCTGAGCAGGAAAGCTGGGTGGGAGACCTCTGTTCCCCACACCACTCTGGAGGGAAAGTTAGCTGAATAATTCCCATGGCTAGAAAGAAAAAGGGCCAGCATATTTTCCTCAGTTCTCTCAAACCCCTTTAAACAGAAGCTTCAAGCCACAGAATCCATTACACACACACACACACACACACACACACACGGGCTTTATCCCATTCATTGGGAAGCATCACAAAGCTCAAAGCACAAATATACGTGAAGATGAGCCCCTAAGGGAAGCCCAGAAAAATGAAGGATCCCAGCATCCTACTCAGTAAGGTACAACTCAGCCTCTGCCACCCGCCCACAGAGAGCTGAGTAACATCCTTGCAGAACAGGCACACTGAGAGTGATGTCGGCCTCAGAATTCCACACAAATTGAAAGTCAGTACAGTAGTTGGAGATGCTACAATGTCAGCACAGTCAAGTTACCCCAGTACTTGATGAAATATTCTCAACTCCAGCAAGCACACATTACCACCATTAGTGAGATGAAGTCACCAGGTGGGGACAAAGACACCTCTGTTCTGTTCAGTGTGTCACTTAGATATCTCAATACATGAAAAAGTTACAATGAGCAATTTAAAAAAAAAATCACTCCATGCAGCTTTGCAGCCACTGTCTTACCAGAAGATTAAACAGCACACATGTCTGCCTGCAGCCTCAAGGGCCCCACATGTCTGCCTGCAGCCTCAAGGGCCCCACATGTCTGCCTGCAGCCTCAAGGCCCCCACATGTCTGCATGTAGCCTCAAGGGCCCCACATGTCTGCCTGCAGCCTCAAGGGCCCCACATGTCTACCTGCGGCCTCAAGGGCCCCACATGTCTGCCTGCAGCCTCAAGGGCCCCACATGTCTGCCTGCAGCCTCAAGAGCTGAAGCATCAAGTGACTTAAAAGCAGTTGGGAGGGCTGTAGAGATGGCTCAGTGGTTAAGAGCAGTGATTCTTCTACCAGAGGACCCAGGCTCAATTCCCAGCACCCACATGACAGCTCACAACTGTCTATAACTCCAAGATCTGACACCTTCATAGACATCCATACATGTAAAACAACAACAGAACCAATACACATAAAATAAAAATAATTATTCTAAATGATTATTTTAAAAATAATAATTTTTTTAAAAGGAAAACAGTTGAGGCTGGGGATCTGCTTAGTCTTACTGTTTAGTGTGCTAAGTAGATTCTATCTATTGTTTTTTTAAAAAAAAGTTGACCAACAGCCGGGCGGTGGTGGCACATGCCTTTAATCCCAGCACTTGGGAGGCAGAGGTAGGCGGATTTCTGAGTTCGAGGACAGCCTGGTCTACAGAGTGAGTTCCAGGAGAGCCAGGGCTACACAGAGAAACCCTGTCTCGAAAAACCAAAAAAAAAAAAAAAAAGAAAGAAAAGTTGACCAACAATACAAAGAAGAAAAGGGAACTTTTCGCTTAGCACTGATTAAAAGGTGGTTAAATGCTTCTCATTTGCTGTTTCTCTGCAAGAGGGACGTGTGGTGCATGACTGTATTAGATGGACCCTGAGTCTACCAAACTTGATAGCAGAGCTCGTAGGTCACAGTTAATTCAACCCCACAAAAGCAATTCCCTGGTAATTAAACATGATTTCCAGAACTTTCTTTTAAGCATTTATATTCAGATTTATTTTTCCTTTGTATGTGTGTTTGCCTGCATGCATGTCTGTGCACCCATGTGTTCAGTACCCACAGAGGCCAGAGGAGGCCACCAACCCCCATGGAACTGGAGTTACAGCTGGACTACGAGCTATGTGGGTGCTGAGAACTGAGCCTGAGTCCTCGGCAACAGCGATGAGGGTTTTAACTGCTGGGTCACGTCTCTAGCCCTTGCTCTCCTGACCTTTGTCTTTATCAAGGTTCTCCTGTGGTAATTAAACTGAATTCCTGAAGTATGAGTAAAAACTCCTGTGCTCCTTCTCACGTTTGGGGAGATCAATGGGGTGAAGCAAAACATGAGGTAAAGCAATTACTCAGAGAAGTACCAGAATCCCAGGGTAAAGTGTCTGTCCTGTCCCCCCATCTCCCCTCTTCCCGTGTCCCCCCAGCCCCCCCCCCAGCCCCCTAGAAAACAAGAATGCAGCCTTGGAGACAGACTCACACTTTATTTTGGCTAAGGGTTTTGTATTTGCGCATGTGTGTATGTGTGTGCTTTGTTTTGCAAACGCGTAGGCTTCAAATGCCTTGAAATTTTAAATACTGTGAGAAACTGTTGCTCTTCTTTGAATATGAAGGAAATGTTATAATCTCAGAAAAAAATACTGTAAATTTTGTTTATTGATTTTGCTTATGGTGAAGAGATTATTTTCAGCAGATAGAGATCAGCAGGGGTTGGAAGTCAAATTGCTTGCTTCAGAAGTGCAAGGATCTGAGTTTGGATCTCTCAAACCCTATATAAATGCCAAGTGGGCATGCTGGCCTGCCTGTAATTCTACCCCCTGAAACTGGAGGTGGGATACCCAGAGCAAGCTGGCTAGCAAGACTGCATATCTCGGAGCTTTGGGCTTTACTAAGAAGCTCTGCCTCAGTGGATAAGGTGAAGGAGGAGCGTGAGAGAATCCCAAGAGGAGCTTCACGCACACTTACACACTGCACAGCACAGACGTGAAACTAGAAGAAATCAAAATTCAGTCAACAATCTGAACCTTTTCTTCATCATCTGTTACAGGGGAGGTTTGGGGACAAAAGCAAGATGGCCTGGGCCAAAAGATTCCCACCCTTCTCCTCTGACAAGAATCCCACATTTGGCCGGGCAGTGGTGGCGCACGCCTTTAATCCCAGCACTTGGGAGGCAGAGGCAGGCGGATTTCTGAGTTCGAGGCCAGCCTGGTCTACAGAGTGAGTTCCAGGACAGCCAGGGCTATACAGAGAAACCCTGTCTCGAAAAACCAAAAAAAAAAAAAAAAAAAGAATCCCACATTTGCAAAGCCTCGCACAAAACACTGGATAAAGCCAGCTCCTCGTTCCAGATTTCAAAGTGACCACTAGACATAAGACCACCCTATAGGGCCCTAAAACGCACCAAATAAGTCTATACCCCAGTGCCTCACCATCTTCCTCTTTAAAAATCCCCTACTTCAGCCCTCCTCCACTGAGACTGCTGAACCTGCCTGAGAGCTACCCCCAATAAACCTGTCTTTATACTCAATTGGGTTTATTTCGTTGGCAGAGGATCATCACCCACATCTCCTTATCCTCATGCCTGCTCTCCTGAATACATGGGAAGAACAGCCAAAGGAACAGAAGGATTGTTTTTTATTTTAGTATACCCAAGCACAATGCCCTCCTCACAAGCTCACAGACCATCCGTCACAGACCTTCGCCCTCTGTGGGAACACATTGCTTTGAGAGCAGTGATGTGTATGCCCTGGTACTGCAACAGGGAGGTGCTCAGTGACACCAGGGCATACATATCGCTGCTCTCAAAGCAATGCCCGAGAACCAGGATCAAGTTTAAAATAAACTGTTTCATTTCTTTGGTATCAATAAATGAGACTGAGAAATAAGAGTGAAGAGAAATTGTCCCAGTTGAGCTGGTCGCCTCAACTTATTTCAATCTAGAGACATTAAGCAGCCAGTAGATTAATTTGGCAGTAGCATACAGCATAAGCTGAAAAAGAAGATAGCAGAATGTAAAGGATCACTCGGAAGGAAGCTATAGTGATGTGGGAAAGGAACTAAGAGAGCCGCGTGCCTAGCATGGCGAAAATGCAATGAGGAAGGAAGAGACAGGGGTGTCACCTGCATGTGGGGGTCTGCAGAGGACAGATTAAGAACGGATTAATTGAAGACAAGAAAGATAGACCCATAACTATACATAAGAACATAAAGTAGGCTCCATTTGGTAAAGTGTCAGCGTTTTTCAAAGATACCCACTGAGATGTGCAACCAAAGCTCAAAAGACAGACTGATGACCTGGACAAGGAATTTCCACGCCAAGATACAGGGTGAGTGTATTAAAGAGAGACAAGTAAAGCACAGAGTTAAATGCTGCTGCACACCCTATCCAGGGAG